CAACACTGCTTTAAATGCAGTAGGTTTTGAAGCTACAAAAGAATAATTTGTTCTGTCAGCATTCTCACTCTCACGATATTTCAACATCTAATATAAGGGTCATGGAAAACTAGAATTTACTGTTGCAACTATCATGGGCTTTACAAAAAAAATTCTATTGGAGACTTGTGTACACAATAGTTTTGACATAGAATAATCCCTCAAAGTTAAGAAGCACCATAAGTCTCCTAAAACTAAGCTATAAAAGCAAAAATACACTTGAAGATGAGGGGCTTCATTATACCAAGTGAAAACTGTCAGATAATCAGCTTGCTTACAGGTGAAAAAACTGTCTTTAAAAAGTAAGCAGAGAGTATTTATGAGCCCTTATCAAAAAAGCCATCTTTTTATAATGTTCCTCAGGTTGCTATTTGTGATGTGTTGGATCACAGAAACCCCTTTGGGACTGCCACCTGATGTGCCTAGACTACCTCTGAGCCCATTTTTCCTCCCAGCATGTGACTTCAGTTCCTTGCCTTGTTTGAACCAGACATGCTAGCCTGCTGCAAACACAGATCCAAGTCTAAACCACATCCCCCGCAAGCTGCAGGCTTAACTGAAAACAGCTTAAGAAGTGCTCGTGTGTCCAGCACTCAGATACCCAGCTCCCAATAGGGTCCAAACCCCAAATAAATCCATTTTACTTTGTATAAAGCTTAAATTGAGAAAACTCATAAATTCTTTGCCCTCTATAACGCTGATAGAGAAATATGCACAGCTGTTTACACCGCCACCCCTCCCCGTCCCAGGTATTAATACTTACTCTGGGTTAATTAATAAGTAAAAAGTAATTTTATTAAATATAAAAAGTAGGATTTAAGAGGTTCCAAGTAATAACAGACAGAACAAAGTAAATTACCAAACAAAATAAAATAAAACATGCAAGTCTAAGCCTAATACAGTGAGAAACTAAATGCAGGTAAATCTCACCCTCAGAGATGTTCCAATAAGCTTCTTTGACAGACTAGACTTCCTCCTAGTCTGGGTCCAGCAATCACACACACCCCTGTAGTTACTGTCCTTTGTTCCAGTTTCTTTCAGGCATTTCTTTGGGGTGGAGAGGGTATCCCTTGAGCCAGCTGAAGACAAAATGGAGGGGTTTCCCAGGGGCTTATATAGTTTCTCTCTTGGGTGGAAACTCCTCTTTCTCCCTGTGTAGAATTACAGCTACAAAATGGAGTTTTGGAGTCACGTGGGCAAGTCACATGTCCATGCATGACTCAGTTCTTTACAAGCCGATGCCATTGTCCACATGCTAGTTTGAATGTTCCCAGGAAAGCTCAGATGTGGATTGGCATCTATCAAGGTCCTTCACACTATGTTGACCAGATTTGCCTTAGGTGCTTCCTAAAGCAAACACTTTAAATACAAGCATAGAGTCAACGCCTGTAACTCCAGATATAAAAATGATATATGCATACAAATAGGATGAATTCAGTAGAACATAACCTTTGCAAAGATCTGTTACATGGCATATCTAATATAAAACATATTCCAGTTATGTCATATTTACACTCATAAGCATATTTGTATAAAGCATTATGGGGGCAACATCACACTATACACCTATAGTTTTTCACACCCAAAGACCAAGTGTAATGTCTCCATTGTACACCACTCGTTGAAAGGCATGTGCTTCAAGCCCACTTTCAGGCACTATAATATGTTACTGTTAATACACAACTGGATAAGTACACAACCATATAAGGAGGCAAGATCCCTTCCCCGAGAAACTTTCAGACTAAGTAGTCAGTAAGTAGAAGAGGAATGGGTTGTGAAAAAGCAAATAACTGAAACAAGAAGTGATGTGTGGTGTGTACCTTGGTTTCACATTTTTAACTATTATTGAGTCATATTGCTGCTCTCAACATTCTCATCCATTAACATATAGGAAACTCTGCACATAGATATCTCCCACCAAAGCAGATCCAAGAGATCAGCCACCTCCTGGAGTATAGCAAACACCACGATCACATGCATTTTTTGCCCCTTGGAACAAATGCAAGTTAATCTAAAAATTACCATATGAGGCTGATCATCAACAAAATGTGCATTACTCCTGATCATGAACTGCATTATCTATTTATGAAGATTATATTTTATTGGGGTTGAATTGCTATAAGAAATGTAACACTCTGCCACAGTCAGCAATGCATAAAAGCACATTTGTTAAAGAATAGATAGATGTAATTTTCATAGGGATGGGTGTGGAGTGGGGAAGCGAAACTGGTCGAATGACATTGGAGACCAGACTCTTTTCCTAGTTAAGCCAGTGTAAATCTGGAGTAGCACTATGGACTTCAGTAAAGTTATTCTGGATTTTCATCAAGTTAAATAAAATTAGAATCTGGCCTTTAGAATGTCTTTTTGGAACCTTCTGAACAAATCTGAAATCTATGATACATAGTGTATATTACTGTAAAAGTAAAAATCTTATGCGGAATTAGCCCCAATCAAATGGATTCCAGGAGTGGTGCAGTGAAATTTTAGGCTTGAAATTTGTTCCTGGACAAAAATAGGGAGTAAGAGTCACACCGGCAAAAAGGTGTAGAATAAAGATCTGTGAAAGAGTAGGAAGCATAAGCCCAGTTTTCATAGTAGAACTGATAAAAAAGACAAATAAGAGGAAGAGGCTGCAGGCATTCACCCCTGTGGTGAATCCTTATTATCATTATTAATAATTAGTATTATTTTTATTGATTTATGTTGCAGTAGCACTTATAGACCTTAACCAGATCTGAGTCACATTATGACCGACACTGTACAGACAAAACATTAAACAGTCCCAGCCTTCAGCCCTATAAGTGTAAAATAAATAGTGCAGGCCTGATTCTGATGTCATTTACAGTCTGATGTCACTTATGTTCCTGATATAAATCAAGAATAACTCCAGTGAAGTCCTTGTGTAAAACCAATATGGGTGAGGCTAGATTCAGGCTCTGTAATTTCACACAGTCAAGGAGTTATTTGAAACTGTAATTTTCCAAATAAAAATGTCACCCTTCAAACTGAATTATCATATGTTTAATCTAATATTGTCCATACTTAATTTTAAAGATATTACTTTGGAGGCCAACATTTGTCATCACATTGTTGCTATTCTTTGATTGCTGAAGATTGCTTTATAGGAAGCATTGTTATTAGAGAAATCTACAATTCCTGCCACAAACTGATATTTCTTACAGTGCAGGGTGAATTTGAAATGCAAATCATTCAGCTCTGGAAGATAATAATAATAATAATCATTATAACAAAATAGCAGCAATAATAGCAATAATAATAATTAATAAACACACACTCTTGGTAATGAAAAAATTGTAAATGTGTACACCTGTCAGGAACCAAAAATACACTCAGCAATGCCAGTGCATTTCTTCCAATTTTTCACTGCAGTAACCTAGTTAAAATCAGCAAGCCAGACAGTTTTGGCAGATGCATTTGGCTTAAAGTTGCATTAAGAAAAATGCACAGTACTAAGGGACACTGGGGAATCCATTATATTTTCTGCTTCCATAAGCAAAAGACAGCAATAATAAACATATCTAATTTGGAGTGGGGGTGAGGAAAGAGAAAGCTTGAAATAAGGTCCTGATCTGAAGCCCATTTAAGTCAATAGGACTCTTTCTATTGACCTCACTGGGCTTTTGATCAGGCTCTAAGGCCCCGGTTCAGCAAGGTACTTTTGCTTCTACCTAACTGTACGCAGATGAATAGAGTAAACTGAAGTCAATGGGACCACTCATGCTGAAAGTTAGGTAGATACTGAAGTATCTTGCTGGATTAGGGTCTCAATACGCACTCCTGCAGACTGCAATGACAATGCTAATGCAGAAACTGTCTACACTGCAATGTAAGCCCATGCTTGAGCCCATGCACTAACCCATGGCTCGGACCCATGGTCCCACAGCCCTAGAGGGCTGGAGGGTCTGACCTTAAATCAAACCAGGACCCAGCGTCCAAGTCCTATTTCTTTGCAGTTTTGCTACAACCCCACTTGACTCAGATCCCAAGAGTCATCCAGGACTATCCCACAATTCCATGGGAGAACTTCCTTAGTCCTCTTTATCACGACAGTCTGCAATCCACTCTCCTGAAAACAGAAGTCCCCTCACCCCCTGGGCAAAAGGCAGCAGATCAGGTCAGCATTAACCCATTCTGTTTTGATCACCAATCTGCAATCAAAGTATTAGAAAGCCTCCTGGGTTTGCAATGGAGAGTGAACTGATCAAGCCTTTTGCAAAGTGAGTTGCTTCCTGGTAACGTGCAGGGTGAGCAATGAAGTTTTCCCACATTGTACCATGCTCCTAGAGCTAGAGTGGCCACATTTGGGGGGTGTGTGCTAGGGTCTCTGTGATATGGTTACTTTGAGTCAGGTTTGTGCTCTGCAGTGTGGAGGCCAGAGGTTCAATCATGGGTCAGAAAATTCTTAATCTAGGGTTAAAATACAATGTAGACACTTAAGCTCAAGGTTCCCTAACATGGGACAGTTCACTTGAGTCCCACTAACTCTGGGCTTACATTGCAGTGTAGACATACCCAACGGGGTAAACAAAAGGCAGCCTGGACTTTTCCAGCAATGGCATTATTGAAATATAGCATTTGCTAAATCTAGAAAAAATATAGGAAAGAACTTTTATTGTCAAATATCTGAGGATCCTACAAACAACAAAATATAATACATACATACAACTATAGGTGAGTATGAGGGAGAGACTTCAATACTGATGGGAAAATGATAGTAATAAAACTATTACCGTACTTTTGTTTTTGATGTTATCTCATCACAAATTTGTCTGTGTCTTCACCAAATATTAAGATATAGCTACAAGTAGTTAGAGCCAGGATGTTTGAAATATAACAATGCATGTTATGTTTAGCTAGTTATATTACAAAATGTTCAAGCTAATCAAAGAAATTCCAGGTGCTCTCTGCTTCTGTTGTCACACCCGAGCCCCCACCACCACCACCAAGGGGTCCCCTGGGGGAGGCAGATCAGCATTGTATATGCATTGTATATTGCTAACGCTGTTGCAAGCATCGCAGGGCAATTTGGGAAGGGTCAAAGGTGTGAGTGGGGAGTGGAAGATTCTTTTGCAGGCTGCGAAAGGCCAAAGGGGGAAGGAGAAAGAGAGCAGAGAACAGGTTAACTCAACACTGCAGCTAGCAAGCTCAGTCCAACGATAAGACACTGGCCCCAGTCCAAGGTCACGGCGCTAGATGAAAAATTATCTCACCCAGCCACAGCCAGCCATGAGAAAAGAAAAAGTACACTGAACCAGGGCTGCAGAGCTGGAAAACACCGGCGAAACAACGAGGGGGGTAGCAGAGCTTCGCGTCCCTGGAGCCGTTGTGTTTTGGGAAAGCGGAGAAGACCACAGAAAGCCGGTTTGGACTGGCACAAAGAGCACCAGGAACAGAGGTCATGGAATGGAACAGCCCCAAAGGAGCCCAGGACTTAAAACCCTCCTGAGAGCTGAAGCAATTTGGAGATCACAGCGGAACCTGGACGAACTGTGCACACATGACAGAACTCCCGTCCACCCTTCTCCCTCTTCTTCTTATGTTACACCCAGGTCTGGCCAGCCTCATGTAGTGCGGGTGTGAGTATGAAAGTGGGTTAGGGCTTGGGGCACTAATGCTTTCTTCCTTCCTCTGAGTGATGTGGGGAGCACCCATCACTCTCCGGTGTTATTTTATTATTTTATCAATAAAGCTTTAAAACTTAGACATTTGATGTGTTCCATCATCTCCTCCATTAACAATCCTGTGGCCTCAGCCTGATCACCTGACGCCTCAGGCAGATTGGTAACAGAAATCTGTCCCACTATCACCCAAAGACAAGTCAAATGTCAAGCAGATATCCCTCATTAGCCATAAAACCATGTTTATTACCCTTAGAGTGTCTTATCTAGACTAGGATACCTCACTCTTGTATAAATACCAGTTTGGTACAAATGTAGTCCTTATCTCAAGAATACAAACCATGTAAAACATTCATGCTTTACGAAAAGATCTGACATGAAAAAGAACGTAAGGTTGAGTTAACAAAGCAGTAAATCTTCATGTAAAGTTGGCTTTTTCACCCTCACGAGAACAACTTCTAAGTAAACATTCACAGAGAATTCTAGAAATATCTTACTGAAAATGAATTTTATAATAATTCTAAAAACAGCAGTCAGAAAAGCCTCTAGGAAAAACATATGTAGTTGCAAATGTTTTAAACTTTTGTTTATTTCTAATGTTGAAATGGAAAATCATTTTGAATGGCATATATGCAAGTATTTTACCTAAAGGCAAAGCACCTAACATAATTTCCTAACATCATTCCTATGTAAATGGTAAAATGCTTTATGTACCAGTGATGCTTTCCTGGGGTGTCCAGAACTGTAAATCACATTGTTACCTATCTGCCTCAGCAAAAGAGAGATTTGCTGGTGCTACACTAAGTGTCAGCTCCCTGCCATCCCAGTTAGTTAACTGGCCAAACAAACTGCTTAGAATTCTGCCAGCCCACACTTTGCTTTGTAAACCCTAACTTTTGCTCTTCAGTTCCCAGACTCCCTGGAGGAGCGTTCCGCTGCAGTATCCAGGCCCTCTCACTGGACACTCACAGAAATTACAAAGACTGCTATCTCCAGAGAGGCAGTTTAGACACCAGCCTGTTAGCTCAACACACTTTACTATTATATATTGCACTGAGATGAACTTAAAATAAAACCAGGACTAAATGTATTAATAAAGAATAAAGATTCAAGTGATACTAAGCAAAGTTAAAAAAATCAGAAAATTGTCATAAATAAAATAAAAGTATAATATGATTTCTAGAGGCTACAACTTTACAGACTACAATCTTTGTCTAGGGTGGTTTTCTCACCTAAAGCCTCCTCTCAGAATCAGAAGGCCTTCCTGGGCCAGGATCCAGCTTTCATGGATGCAAAGACCACTGATCTCTTTGTTCCCTCAAAGATGGATAACAAAATATCTTTTGTGCTTATAGTTCCCCAAAAATCATTGTTTTGACCCCAGAGACAAGACACCCCCTTGTGGCTTTGGTTTCTCATGATGGTTTCATATCCCCCAGTCAACCCGGCTTTTCCTGATGACTTATTGCAAATGGGGCTTCTTTTGGTCTTGTTTTCACAATGCTTCAGTTATCTCTCTGCCACTAATATAAATATCTTTCCTCCTGTCTGGAAGAAAACCATTCTCTCTTTGTTTGGTTACAGATTTTAAAGCATAATATCAGTGAGTATCCTTAATTTCTCATATAATGTTAATACACACATTTCACAATGATATGAGTGACCAGGATATTACCAGCTTTCATTAAATACCTTACAAGACAGTCTTTATAGATAAATACTATGACAGCAACATGTTAGGTCCAGTGAGTTTGTCAGGCCTGATAGAAGTTGCTGACACAGAGTAGTGAACCGCCAATAGGCCTCAGTATCACAGGACCAGCCTGTAATCTAAAGATCTTGCTAAACCAATTAGTAATGTAAGAAGCCATTCAGGTATTGAATATTTATTTTAATGGGGATTTAATTATTGGCAGTGCTCAAGCCATATTAGGAAAACAAGAAGAATAATCTCTCAAAAATTGTTATGAAGACTCAACAACTTCTTTAAAAGCTATTTAAGATAAACACACTCTAAAAATCATTGAATTTTTGAAAAAACAGTTTTAAGAACCATAAGTTTTAAGTTTAAATTTAGAAGGAATATCTCAGAAAATGGACTGCATAAAAAAAGAGTTAAAACTCTAAACTTAAAGTTGTCTGAGAATCTCTCACCACAAAGACAAAGGAACTATAACTGCCAAGAAAGAATTACAATCCCAATGCATACATGCATTAATAAATTATATATTCATAAGATAAAGAGGCTTTTAAGGATAACCTATGAAAGTACTGAGCCAATGAACAGAAATCAACTTGGAGTCTAAACAAACCTGAAAGTGGCTTTTCTATAATTTCAAGCGAATAGGAAGTAGAATGGTATAAAACTCTGAAGTGGGTACCTCCACACACACACACCCTCTGCTACCCTGCTTAAACAGCAAGCATGCCACAAGTCATCCTGTCCATCTCTACAAGCAAGCTACTACAGAGACCTAACAAGAACAGAGAGGACTAAAGAAGAAACCAATTCTAGGAAAAGCGCCCCAAAACTTTAACATGGATTGGTGAAAGAAAATTAACTAAAACACTGGATTAGATTTTAAAACTCTTGTAATCATTTTGTTTAGCTATGGAAATTCTGTTGTAACTTAAAATGCTAACAGTTTCTCCTGTTAATCAACACATGGTTAGACTAGGTATTCCTGGAGAGGAGACAGGGCTAACCATTGGCAAACCAAGAAATTGCAGATTTAAGTTTCTTAATACTCATAATTGGCTTGTCTTGAAGATCCTTAAATGGCTTCCTCTAAGTAACTGATTTAAATATTTTCTTAGATTTCATAAGATTGTTTATTTTGCCCAATTATAAACTGGCTGGTTGTTAATAACAACAAGACAGGTATCACCTGCCCTTAAACACATTATTTTGTCCATACATAAACAATTTTAAGTATCTAGTAAGAAACTAAGACTAAATTGACAATAACTTTGGGAAACAATATACTTTGGTCTTAATTTACCAAATGAAGTACATCCTGATTTCACTTTTAAATGTGAAATCTCTTCTAAAAGTTCTCTACAAAGAGGCATATAGAAGAGATTGTAACAGAACTAACCAGTTTATCAGTTGTGTTCTGTAATTTGTTTTGTATTGTTTAATGGTTTCTTTTCTTTTCTTTAATAATAAATAGCATGGTTAATAAGTGTGGTTATACTGCATATCATGGTGTCCCCTAAGGTATGCAAAAGAATTTCTGTGACTAAAGTAGTGGGACTCACATCTCTGAGATAGTTTTATAAATAACCTTCATTAATTATTTCATCTTTTTATTTTGGTTTTCCTGGTTTGGCAGTAAGAGAAACACGTACTAAGAGCTGGCCCACCATTTCTTGATTCTCTGGACTAAATAGTTTTAGTATTTTTTAAAGTAAAACTACTTGGCTTGCAACAATTTAAAATTACCCCTTTCTACCCCACATAAGTATACAAGCTTCTCCATTAGGTGAAAGATTTATAAAGCAAAAGGACCACATGTAAAGAATCTTAAAATAAAACGAGGAAGAGAATGGAACATGTTAGTAGATACATTTTGTCTCCAAAATGAGATTCAGCCATCAAACCCCCAATAGCATTTCCACAGAAATAACCAACCTCACGGTCAATATATTGAAACACTTGTGGCATAAGGAATACTCAACACAGAAACCTGAGGCTCCTCCAAGAAACACCTTTTCACAGACATCAGCAATAAAAGTAAAAAAGAGCTACACCGCATCAGTGAGAATAAGAACAAGGGAGATTTAAGGTGGCCAGGGCTCTGCTCCTGCCATAAAATAGTTTGCCCTCACCCTGTAGAAGTGAAAGAAACTGAACTCAATGTTTTGCCAGTGTCAAGGGCTGCACTGTAGAATATACTTTTCTGCTAATGCCAAAATGGTTTTTTTCTTTGGCCTTGGTAATGAGATCCAGGTAAACCTGAGATGCAAAGTTGTAACAGGTTATCAGTTGTCTTGCCTGGCAGTTGTGAGGATCTCTCTCTTTTTTAAAATGGTGTAACAGAGAAATGTAATTGTTAGAGGTCACTGCTTGGGCATGCTTTCCAATGCCCCACCAACCATTTATATGACAGCTTGCTGGCCTCAATTAGTGCTTGATTCTGCCCTCAAATCTTCATATACATATTTCAAAAAATGCAATAATTAATGATTAACTGTTGTTCTGCTGTTTTTCTTCTGTCTTTCAAAATGTATGTTATGTCAGATATATCTGTTCTTGTTTGAAGATCTCCAAAATTAGTAGTAGACTGATTGGGCATTGGAGATTTCAGCGTAAATTACACCCATGCAACAGTCTGAAACAGACATATCTGGCATACATTTCTGAGGGCAGTGTGGATCTGTGAAATCTGCTCATAGCCTGATATGCACATGGAAAATAAAGTGTTGTGATAAACAGGAATTCTCTGTGCTGAACTGATCCTGCCATGCCTGGGTTTTACAAACACATGACACAGTATAAGGCCCATTCAGGAAAGCATCCCTTCCCAGAACAGAACTTAAGTGCAACATATTGACCACCTTAACCCTGTACCTTCTTTAATTTTTTAGCTTACATAAGACCACTAGTGCTATTTTTTAACAAAAATGTCATTTAATATGTATCAGCATCAGCAACAGGCAAATTAGAGCATAAAAGATGTGAGTTGGTTATAGTTTTTTCCTTTCTTAAATTACATGACATCCCAAAACATTTGGACTTCAGTAAAACTGATGCAAAGAAGAACATATCTTCCTTTCAAACACACACTGGTAATGACTCAGTACTTGTCTTTTCACCTTAGAGAGGCAAAAACTGAATATCAAATAATTTAGACATGAAAAGAACATGGTAGATCAGTCATGATTTTGATCTATATCCTTTAGCCGAGAAAAAGACTGTCAATGCAACTTATCATTTGAGTATAATTTAGCATCTCTTCCCTCTACACCCCCTCCATCCAGCCAAATTCCTTTCAACTGCATAAATCAGAGGTGTTATCTGAGAGCACGTTCTGTACTGTAATATATACTGTAAAAATGAGAAAGGTAAAATCCATATTTCTTATTTCTTCCATTCACCGCAAACCAGCTGGTTAGAGTCTCTACTGTTAAAAACTAGAAAAGGACCTGAAGAAAAGCCATGGATCAAAACATCCTCAGGCTTTGGACTCCAGATCCAACTCTAGATCCAAAGTTTATGACTTGAACTTACCTGTATAAAAGGCTGAAACTAAACCCAAGAAGCAAATCCTTATGATATTTGGGACAGATCTGGGGCCCTGATTCACTAGTCCATTCCTATTCAGCAAAGCAGTTAAGAAAATCTTTAACTTTAAGCATGTGCTTAAGTCCCATTGACCTCAGTTAGAGCGATTTGCTGAATCAGGGCCTTACTGAACAGGGCTGGATTAAAGCATGTGCCCAAACGTTTTGCTGGATTGGGGTCTAGATACAGGTCAAGATCCAGACTTTGCTGGTAGAACTCATTCCTACTAAAAACCCTGGTTATAAACAGGGTCAATATTTATCAAGAATTTTCTTCTTTTAAAAAAAACTGATGTTAGAACAAGAGGTGCAATGGCAAGTTAGTTGTGGGTGGGTAATTTATTTTACTTAAAATGTTGACATTTTATATAGAAGTTGATCATTTCTACTAGATGCTGATCATACATCCTGAACTGGAATTAGCTGATATTCATCTTCCATGGCATCTTCAGCATATGTCCCACCATGGCACTTCATGGAAGTTCTGTAATAATTTTTAAGTAAAAATATTTATATACAGGATCAAGGTGGAAGGGATCTGGTTCCTCCTCACTAACAATAGTAGTAGTAGGATCTCAAGCAGCTTCTTTGTATTGGTGATTGATCCTAATGGCCAGCTGAAAAGCTTTTGAACATCATTCAGCAAGGCATTTAAACACATGTTGAACCTTATGCTCAGGAGTTCCATTGACTTCAATGATGTGTAAGTGTCTTGCTGAATTGGGCCATTATCGTAAGATGACAGGATCAGCACTGGACACTCAAGCCACTGGCCTTCTGAATGGTCGGTCCTGAACATAATTAGCAAATATCCCAGGTCAGATGGGTCCAGTTATGTAGGAAATTTTTTTCCCCAGGTTTAAACATAATTTTCAGAGATGGATTCAAAGGGATTAAAAATCAGGGGAATTGTTTTAGTTTTTTTAATTGTAACCATAAAATACAGTCCTTAGTTAAAGGCCTCATATAAGATTACTTTCCATCACACCAACAGTAGGTGTTAGCCTAGAAACAAATAAATCAATTATTCCTTTTATATCTTCATGTAGTCCTTCTTTATGAAGACACAAAGGCTGTAGATCAGAATGCACAATAACAAGTATTTTGAAAATGAGGAATATGGGACTATTAATCTGAACACAGATAATTATTAACATGGTAACCACATATGGTAATATTTTATCTGCTATCAATCATAAAAATACTGAATGTTAAAAAACAAAAGCAAAATGTTTGTTGCTGTAGGGACAGGAATCTAAGATAATGTAAATGACCAAACAAAGGGAGGCTATTAGATTTTTATTAAATAATTCAATGTATCATTTAAGGCTGTAGTTTGGATTTGTATGTACCATACATAAATGAATAAGTAATAAGAATGCCATATTGATTCCTCTCTCTCTCTCTCTAAAACATTCTACCTGGCTGGAAGTCAGAACAAAAGCAATTTTCACAGAGTTTTGTATAGAAGTCAGGATAGGTTGTGGGTTACAAGTGGACAGTACCACACAATAAAAAAACTAATCTCAAAATTGTGTGATTGTTGCTTTGGTAAATGTGAAACTAAATGTGAAACTGTGGAATTCATGTGGACAACATTACCTTGGATGAATGGCTCTCATACAAGGGAACTTGGCTGGTACAGGATGAGGGAAGTAGCAGTACAGGGAAGGAAATCTGAAAATGAAGAACAGGATCAGTGATTTGCCAGGTGGCGGGGAGGGGTCGTCTCTTGCTAGCATTGGGGGACCCTGTTGTCAAAATATTGACATGAAAGTGAAGGTGAATGTTAGGATAATCTATGAGGAAATGTTTAAAAACCTGGGTGTGGTTTGTCTTGAGAAAATAAGACTGAGGGGCGGGCAAATAGTCTCCACATATGTTAAGGGCTGTTATAACATGGACAGTGGTCAACTGTTCCCCATGTCCACTGAAGGTGAGACAAGAAGAGATTGGCTTAATCTGCTGCAAGAGAGATTTAAGTTATATATTAGGAAAAATGTTTTAACTATAAGGGTATTTAAGCTCTGGAACAAGCTTCCAAGGAAGGTTGTGGAATCACTGTGATGGGAGGTTTTTAAGAACAGCTTAAATAAACACCTGTCAGGGATGTTCTATGTTTTCTTGGTCTGACTCAGCATGAGGATGTACTAGATGACCTCCTAAGATCTCTTCCAGCCCTACATAAAAATACTCTGAAGAGTAAAGATTTTGCCTTTGAAATGCCCTAGCAGGTGTTCAGGCATTAGCAAACACATTGTCCTAAATGAGGAACCTTCTCATGCCCATAATTCTCTCTGCAATGTCTTCACTTCCCTCCACCATTCCAAATAACAAACTGTACTGTTAATATATGTTGTTCCTGAAAAATATACTGGGCTATATCCTCGGCTGAAGAGTACACAGCGCTTCTTGGGGAAGGAAGGGGGAAGAGTTCAAAGGTGACCTGATGCTAGGCTGGCTGTTCACCAGGCTGGCTCCCAGGTATAAGACATAAGACCAGCCATACTGGCTCAGACCAATGGTCCATCTAGTCCAGTGTCCTAGCTTCTGACATTGGCCAATGCCACGTGCTTCAGGAGGAATGAACAGAACAGGCAATCATCAAGTGATCCATCCCCTGCCATCCATTCCCAGCTTCTGGCAAACAGAGGCTAGGGACACTTCAGCGCAGGGCTTTGCATCCCTGCCCATCCTATCTAATAGCCATTGATGGACCTATCCTCCATGAACTTATCTAATTCTTTTTGAACCCTGTTAAAGTCTTGACCTTCACAACATCCTCTAGCAAAGAGTTCCACAGATTTACTGTGTGTTGTGTGAAGAAATACTTCCTTTTGTTTGTTTTAAACCTGCTGCCAACTAATTTCATTTGGTGACCCAAACTTCTTATGTTATGAGAAGGAATAAATAATATTTCCTTATTTATTTTCTCCACACCAATCATGATTTTATAGACCTCTATCATATCCCCCCTTAGTCATCTCTTTTTCAAGCTGAGAAGTCTCGGTCATACTATTCTCTGCTCATATGGCAGCTTTCCATCCCCCAATCATTTTGTTGCTCTTTTCTGTACCTTTTTCCAGTTCTGAGATATCTTTTTTTCCAGATGGGGTGACCAGATCTGCATGCAATATTCAACATGTGGTTGTACCATGGATTTATATAGAGGCAATATGATATTTTCTGTCTTATTATCTATCCCTTTCCTAGTGATTCCGAACATTCTGTTAGATTTTTTGATTGCTGCTGCACATTGAGTGGATGTTTTCAGAGAACTATCCACAATGACTCCAAGATTTCTTTCTTGAGTGGTAACAGCTAATAATATAGACTTCATCATTTTATGTATTGTTGGGATTATATTTTCCAATGTGCATTACTTTGCATTTATCAGCACTGAATTTCATCTGCTATTTTGTTGCCCAGAACACCCAGTTTTGAGAGATCCTTTTGTAGCTCTTCACAGTCTGCCTGGGACTTAACTATCTTGAGTAGTTTTGTATCATCTGCAAATTTTGCCACCTCACTGTTTACCCCCTTTTTTTCAGATCATTTATGAATATGTTGGACAGTACTAGTCCCAGTACAGATCCCTAGGGGACACCACTATTTACCTTGCACCATTCTGAAAACTTACCATTTATTCCTACCCTTTGTTTCCTATCTTTTAACCAGTTACTGACCAATGAGAGGACCTTCCTTCTTATCCCAGGATAGCTTTCTTTGCTTAAGAGCCTTTGGTGAGGTATCCTGTCAAAGGCTTTCTGGAAATTTAAACAGACTATATCCACTGGATCCCCCTTGCCCACATGCTTTTTTATCCCCTCAAAGTATTCTAGTAGATTGCTAGAACAGTTATAAGACAGCTGTCATTTATACACACTGACAACAGTCTCAAGAGGCTGTTACAGTCCTCAGGGATTGCTTTGCTTTGTTCATAAGTCCTACACCAACCACAAGGAAGGGTTGGCATAGGAGCTGTTACCTCCATAGGTGCTGGAACTAGGTGTGCTGGGGGTGCTGCCGCACCCCCTGGCATGAAGTGGTTTCCATCATATACAAGGTTTGCAGTTTGGTTCAGTGGCTCTCGGCACCCCCACTATACAAATTGTTCCAGCACCCTGGGTTACCCCACTTTCCTATTTGCATCACAGGCAATAATAGCTTTAGAGTTGCTTTGCGCTAGTGGAGCCAAACACAGAGGAAACTGTATAAACATCTCCTGCAGGTACATGAATATGTTAGTTTGCCAAATACTTTTGTCTCCTGCCTTCTGTATGGTTACAAGAAAGTGTTTGTTTTTTTTAATGGGAAAAACAAGGATGGATTTGCCAGTCATGCTCTGTTTCTCCCTGTGAGAATGTTTACTCCAATTCATGGCATTTATCACAGAAGAAAGGGGAAATATTAATAGAAGCCCATTGTTAAACTATTAGCAATGTCTCACCAGAGATGACCACAGAAAAAAGGAAAAACATACAAAACACAAAAGTGGCCAAACTCCTAAAACAAAATTTTCTCTTCTGGATACAATATATATGTACAGTAGTTGTCTCATTACTCTCATCGCCCTCATAATAACATTCCCAAATTTTAAGAAATGATCCTAAAATAAAGAGATACATGAAATTATAATAGCACAAGGACACACTGTTACCTTAACATTCTATATAATACATTATTTATAAGACTGCACAAGGCACAGCATTATTTTTTGACTTTTGAACACTGGCAAAATAAAATATTTTCATATCTTAATCATTTATTCCTATCAAATTTTGAGTATATTAAATTCAACATCATACTTAGAGATCCTTTATGTTTAGAGATGCCAGGCCTAATTTCCATGTGTGCTATACTTACATTACACATACTTTTAGGCCCTTTTATACTGCCAAAATAGTTTCAAGGAATCTTAGTGTAAACAAGAATCAGGTCTATTCTTTGTATTAAACAAGCTGATTACTTGTATAGGCACTGACTTAGACAGAAAAGTACTTTATGGCATAGATTCTCTGCTAGATATTGTTGTAGTTCCATTTACTTCAGTGGAGCTATGTAGATTTTCATCAGCAGAGGATCTAGCCCTGTATGCCTATATTCTGGAGATTTATAGCTGAGAAACCTTTTAACAAATGTAATAATTCAGAGAACTGTATTGTGGACATTTGGGCAAATAATGAGTGGCTTCCACGGGTGAAAACACCATTGATCAACAGATGGAATGGGTGTATGGCAGCCAAATGTGCCAACAAAAATTTCAAGCCAAATTATGCCCTCCTTTACAATGGTGGAAATCTGGATCAACTCCTTCATTGTGTTGGAGAAAGTCCAGAAATACATCATTGTATCTGATGGAAGAATACAGCTCTACATTATTAATATAGACTAGTAAAGTAATTACTATTAAAATTTCAGATAGCCAGGACCACCATATATTTTTACTAGTGGACCTGATTTCCAAAGTATTCTTTGAAGGTGAAATTCCACCCTGTGCAGAGGGCTGGCTCTTAAACACCACTTAGGTCCTCAAAAAAGGGTGTAAGTAGGATTTAAATGGTGTGTATGTCTTGGGTTAGAGGCAAACTTCACGCTAACAGCCTGATTCCCTCAGATGTTAGCAAATGAAAATGTTAAATTTTGGTTTTTCAATGAAAAAATTGTTCACATTATTAAATCTAGCTGTAATATGTTAGGATCAAATTCAAAGACAAGATTAAGAGCCAAATTCTGCTAAAAGTTACACTGGTGAAAAGCTGGAGTAACTCCATTGCACTCAGTGGAATTACTCTGGATTTTCACTAGTGTAAATAAGAACAGAAATTGGCCCTTAATTCTTTCTTTGATCCTAATTGATTAAAGCACAAATTATCTCTATCAACAATGCATATGCATGTCACCATTTAATTTAATCTGTGGCTTTGTGAGGGAGTCATTCTTGTCTGATTATTCCAGCAAATGGGGTTTTATTTAATACTGCTCTAAAACTGGATTTAAAAAAATAAAACTCTTCAAATCAGAGTGATCTAATTTTATGCCAGACTAGATGTCTTCTTTAGTGATAGTCTCATTCAGACCACTGTTGTTTCCGATGGATTTGCATATATTCACACTGCTGAAAAAATATTCCTTTTTGATAAATACAATAGATAAATCTTAGTACAGACATGCATACCTGTGCAACTCTGATGAAAACCCTAAATAGAAGCAGGTCCAACAATGTCTTATAGTATGATTCAAATATAACTACTGTGAATATTAAATCAGCAATCAGGGGAAATGCACAGCATATAATTTCAAAGTGACACAAGAATTCCTTAAAAAAAGAAAAATCATTACCCATTTTGTTACAAATTTGTGCTTTTCCTTGGGCCCATATCACCTGTGACCACACTGACAACACTTTGGGTTGGATGTGGGGGGGTTATATTTTTTCATCATAATCATTATTTATTTTTTTAAATGCTACTGGGCTTGCTTGCTTCAAAGAGGTCTTTGAAATATCTGTTTGCATGGTGGACATAGCTATAGTTTCATAATCGTCATCCCTGGAGCGAATATCACAAAAATGAAAGAAAAACTGCAAGTCCCTCTGGAAGTTCTTGTTGAGGAATCCATAAAAGATAGGGTTCACACAGGTAGAGATCATGGCTGTGAGGTGACAAATCAAGAACAATACATTGTGGCTGCAGGTGGCAGCGGGCAGAATTTCATGATTCCAGTCAAACACAATATTAAAAATGGTAAGAGGTAGCCAGCAGACTGCAAATGCAACCACAATAGAGATCAGCATGATGTTGATCCTTTTGGTTTCAGTGGATCTGTATTTATTATCTCGCATCTTGTCCATCATGTTGTTCCTTCGTTTTAAGCGTATGTATATCTGCAGAAAACAAAATTCAACAACAACAAAGAAAAATATAGAATCATTTAGCCCAGAAGCAATTCTTTACAAGGACAAACAGAAATCAGACAGAAATAAGGAGAGATCATAAAATAGATTCTCTCTTACCTTTAAGTAGCAAATAAATATAAAACAAAGTGGTCCAAAGTACTGTATCACCAACAGAGCTGTGGTATAAGAAAGCCTGATAGTGTCCAAAGGAAACAAGTCCAAGCACACATATTTGTCCTTATATTCATCGATTGTTATATTTTTGAAGGGTTCATCAGTTAATACATGATAAACCAGGAAAGGCAAGGAGGAAGCCACGGCTAGAATCCAGATGGCAGCAACCCCTAGGTAGGCATGTCTGTTATTCGGCCTCCATCCTCGAGGGTTGATGATCAGCTGATGGCGTTCAATCGCGATGAGGACCAAAGAGAAAACCGAGACTGTGATTGAGACACACTGCACAAAAGGATTCAGCTTGCACATGGCCTCCCCGAAAATCCAGTGGTCCATTAAAGTGTATACAAAGGTGAAGGGCAGACACATGATGGTCATTAGAAGGTCTGAGAAGGAAAGATTGACAATAAGGATGTTGGTAACATTGCGCATCTCCTTCTGTTTTAAGATTATGATAATTAAGGCCAGATTTCCAGAGACGCCAAGAATGATCACAGCCCCATAAACCAGAGCCAAGGTGAAGACCATGGCCAATGGCATGTGGCAATCTTCATCTTGGAAGTGTATGATTCTGGAATTCTTCTCTGAAAAGTTCAGATGCATGGACTGATTCCCAGCAGAGGAAAGAAATGATGTGTTCATATTGTTGAAACTTGGGTCCATGCCCTGCATTGGTCTCGACTGCACTGAGTTTCTTCCGAATGGTTTCAGAAGCTCAAAATGTTCTCATCACTCAAGCAGCGGGATCTCACCAAAAGCTGTCACTTCGTTTCCTTGATAACCTTGTACAATCTGCGAAGGGAAAAGAGCACATGTGTTTATTTTTGATCATTTTAATGGCGCCATAACTTTATGGTGCTAAGGAAGCGGATATGAGCATGGAGAGAGATTGGCCCTTCTTTCGGCAGGACAGGGTATGTGAGTCCTTGTTCATAACCCTCGAAACAGACCAAGTGGTCTCAGACAGTAAGCATGCTCCCCACAACAGAACTGGTTTTACAGACTACCCTACATCAAACACTCGCCATGAGGACCCCGTACAAGCAATGCCAATGGAGTATTCTCCACCATTTCAAATGCTTATCCACCTCGGGGCAGCACCCACCCAACTGACTTAGAAATACAGCCAGCAGTGCCACTCGCTCTGGAGCAGAAAGCACCAAGGAAGGTGAGAAGAAGACTTGCCCGTAAGCAGAACGGACGACCCGAGAAGAATTTTCATCAGCACCACGGACAGACCAAAAAGCAGGCCGAGATTCAGCACGCGGAAGAGCAGGACGATGAGTATCTGTACGGAGCAGAGCTGTCCTGCTGCGAATAGACTCCAACGGAGAAGTCATTTCCCTGCGCCCTGCATCCCGAGCCTTAAATTCTCAATGAAGAATATAGGCTGATTTCTCTCTTATATGACTTGACGGCACGTGGAGCTGGAAGAGTTTCCCAGCTGGTGGGTTGCACCCAACGCTAGGAAGCAGACGAGTCCTTTAGACATACGCATGAGAATGCATTAGGAGGAGGGCGCTTGATCACGGGGGAAGGACACGTATGGTCTTAACTTATGCTAAATATAACCGAAAGTATAACAGGGACGATCGTTTCAGAGGCGGAACAGAAGCAGACGTACATTGTCCTTCTAGTTTCATGTCACGCGTTTGCCAGCCAGGATGAAGAACTGTCGAAAGGGGGACTGGAACAATGTGGGTGGGCCAACGCAAATCAGGAGTTTCACAATCTTTCCCTTGAATGTAGTTGCCTCTCCAGGCCTGGTGACATGAGTTCTTTCTCTGAGTGTGCCAGCGTGAGCCTGCTTTGTGCCGAGCTGAAGAACTGTTTAGATGAGAATGAGCGCGTGCTGCTGACAAACTAGAAAGTGAGGATGTAGGTATAGTGTCAAGGTCGTAATGGAGGCAAGGAGGAATTTCTGTTTGTATAAGCGACTCTGGCTATAAGACAAGGCTAGACGGAGAAGACGACCATTTTAAGGGATTCTACGTCCCCTCCATTCTGGGGCTTCAGAGGAGAAAAAGGGATCGCTCCCAAACCTACAGCCCTCAGCCATACCCACCTCTCACCCTTCCCAAGCATCAACCATTTTCAGTCGAATTATTCCCCCAAAGCTTTTTTAAAATAGAATGGTTGTCGTGAAACGGTTTCCGTGGTTAACTGTCTTCGCCACAGGGCTGTGGGGTTTAGGAGGAGATTGATTCACTGCTAAACAGCAGCGCAAGCAGTTCTGCGAAATGCCTGGCCCCTTAGCCTGCGTGCTCTGCCATTACTGTGATCTTAATCCTACACTTCTTCACGTGCAAAAGGAAGCTGTATCACTAAAACTGAGGGAGGAAGAAAGGGGGGTTAATGGATCCTAATCTATGCTAGGAGAGTACATGTGCGCGCAATGTTTGTAATCGCTCTCCAGATTGTGGAAGTCCACCATGCCGAGAATGTAAATAGAGACTGGAAGGCGAATTACCAAAATTAAGGTCTAGATCCCGCGCCCCTGACTCAGAGGAAATTCTTTATTGGAGACGATGAGAAGTTTTGCCTCAGTAGGAAGTGCGGGATACAGAAGGAAGGAAGAAAGAAAGAAAGAAAGAAGGAAGCTCCATTATGTTACGAAATATTTACAAGTGAGAGAGAGAACAGTTGCCGATAGTTCACTATCAAAACAAGTGACATCTAACACACGACAATCATGTCGTTGACAAAGTGAGCTCAGTTTACGACCGATTGAACCTTTAACCCTTACATTCTTTTAAATATGTTTCTTATGATCTATTCTGTTGTTTTCTCAAATTGGCATGTGTTTAATGGCATCTCTCTTATTTTAACAAAGCTATTCAGCTATAAAATACAAAGGACAAGCCCAATCTGACATAAGTAAACAGTGATGAAAAAGTTACTGCAAAACATAGTTCCTTACCTAATTGATTTTCTACTGTTGACCGGCTGGTCACTAACGTGCCGCTGACATTGGGTCAAAGGCAAATCAGCAACTCTGATCACTTTAATCTCAGACAGAAGTGCTATCTAGCAGAGAAGAACAAAGGGCGGGGGAAGGAAAGAAAATAAAAAAGCAAAAATTAAACAGTTTGCCAAAAAAGAGGGGGGGGGAGCGATCAATATTTACCTATGCAACACAAATAGGTATGTTTAAATAAGCCCCTCCTTCGCAAAAGCTGCAGGCTATTAAATCACAGAAACTCAGGCATGTGTGTTGGGGGGAGGGGAAAGAAGTCTACAAGAAACTGACACACCTCAGCTACAACCTGCAGTTAGCAGCGGTCTTGTCCAATCTGGAATGTTCCCTTTGCCAAATCTCAGACGCTCTATTTACAATGTTGGATGCTTAACCTCGGAGCTGTAGGAGGGAGTATTGCCAGTTTACGCCATGTTAATGGTTCCTGAATCACAGCTCCATAATGTCGTTGTCACAAATGTGATCTTCAATGAGCATGAAAGCCGCCGGAGCATATATTGCTGAAATCCACTTTATTTTAAGATACCTCCAGGGGGTGAAGTTACTTTAAATGACAGTCGGCATAAATAGTAACTGCAAACACACTAGTAACCACAAACACAGAGATTTAGATAAGTCTTCAGAGGAGGGAGGTTTTCCTCTCACCAGGGAACTGGCCTTACGTCTGTTTGATATATGCTAGGGTTCAGATCCCGTACTCTTCACTCAGACAGACCTGAACGCGTTGCCAGAGTGAGGACTGCAGGACTGGGCCCCAGATAGTCAACAGGAAGATGACAAAAGTGAACGAGGCTCACGCATAAATTAAATCGCAAACTCAGCTCAGCTGGCTTTGTGTTCCATTTCTGCAACGGATTCTCTACAACCATTATTAGCAATACATTCACATTTAAAATCGCTAATTAATGTAGCCAGGCTTTGGTGATTTACATCCACTAGCCAAAGTTTGACTACTTTGATTTTTTCCAGATAGCTTAATAGCAGACGTCCATCCACCTCAGTGTTATCGCTTAATAATATCTTTACCACATAGCTTCATCCAGTCTGTCTAATCTCCCCGGTCTATTTGAGGATTTGAAATGCCTCCTGTCACCGTGATATGTAAGGCCCCTAGCCAAACTGCTTTTGTTGTATTTTGTGTTTTAACAGAAAACTGTCTGTGCTGAAAGACAGTAGCACTCCCAAGAACCAGAAGCCGTATTTAGAAGTATTTAGTGCCGGCAACGAGGACTTCATGAATTATCTACTCCCAGTAGTATGACTTTGCCGTGACCTGCTGAAAGACAGGACTGGTTTTGCTGTAAACATTAACTACATTTTCATGTCAACAGCAGAGGTCGTACAACTCCACGTACGCTGGGACTTCAGTAGGTTTCCTCGGGTGGAGGTACAGGCTGGAGGAATGTGTTCTCTCCTCCCCGTTCTCCAATCAAGAAAGGCACTGGGATAATAAACTCAGCCACAGACTCAGACCTCGCCGCAGCGCCTTGTTCGGTGTCACTTTTCTTTTTGTGGCGCTACAACGGCTCGAAAGGGGAAATGCCGATGCTCCTTATTCTCGATAGAGAAGCCACCAGAGTCTCCAGCCCCCAGATCGCCCCCTGGGATCGGATTAAAGGAAGCTGTGTTTGCTGTGCGATTGTGACTCCCTCCCTCCTCATCTCTCCAGCAGGGATTGCATGAAGATAGGCGGGGAGGGGTAGCAGATGAAGTTGACAGTGACCGCGCTTGTCTTTCCCTGACAGCTCATCAGCTGGAGAAGACACCGGTTTACCCTCTCTGTGCTCAGGCTCCCCCCGGCTTTAAAACAAAAGGATCCCCGGAGAGGCTAACCTGTGCTTCTAGGGGTGGGGATGGAGAAATTAAAGGCAGGCAGAAAAAGCACACAGCCCTGCAACGCAACCCAACCCTCCCCCTCCTCGGGATCACACAGACCTCTCCTGCTCTCTCCAAGGATTTGATCCGAAGTTTGATGCTAAGGGATAAAAAGCTGTCACAATGCAAGGCAAGGTGACGGGAAATACCCCGTAAAAACTATTCCAGCCGCTCACAGGGAAGCATACCATACTGTGAGCCCGGACCGACAGGTAACATACCCAAGAGAGACTCCGGACGGTCAGGAATACACCTCTGAATACACCCCTCTCAGCTACACCTGTTCTGTCACCCTGATGAGCCACACAAACATCCGCCTAAAAAGCAGGCGCGCACACCACAAATAAAAATAAAATAAAAACCGAGGAAACCACAAAAGGAACCCACCTTGTAACTGATCTTATCTCCCCCCGTTCCTTTATTTGGTCAGGGTTTGAGCAGAAGAGTGGATGGAGAACAAGGAGCCAGGCGATGTGGAAAACATCCACTGGTATTCCTCCAGCTCTGATCCTAAAGATGGGTGAGGAGAGCTGGAGACACCCCCTTAAAGCTGAACTCCACCTTATCCCAGTTATCACATAGTGTTGCTGTATTGAGCAGATCCTGAAGATCCCAGTGCAAGCACATCACCTTTAAATTATACATCTGGGGGTGGGTTGCCTAGTAATTCTGAAATAAATGCAATTAAGTATGGAAACAAAAGGGGAGGGGAGGTTGCACTGAGAAGAACTTGGGAGGGGAAGCAGTTTGAAATTGCTCTTACAGATTGAACATTGCAACATTTTGTTTGCAAGCCAGTGCCACCTTGTGGCCAAAGTTAAAATGATATTATATAATAGCTGGCTGGAGATGTGGCTGGTAACATGGATTGTGTCAGTTATAAAGTGTTCTGTTGTTGCTTTAAAGCAGCACAACTGGTCTCCACTTTGTTTTGCTCTTGAAAAGTGATTGAACTAATAAGGAGTCCCAAATGTAAACATGACCAATTTCTTTACATTTTGAAATACTAAGAAAGCTAAATGTTTTCTTTAAAGTAGAAACAAGTCAACTAACCAACCACCAAACCTCAAGGAACTATAACTAGTAGTCCTTAGATTCAGTGGATGTATGATTTCCTGCAGATCCATTTCACAGCTGTATGTAGTCCTGCTTTGCCCTAACTTAGCATTTCTCAGATTTTGGTCTGTTGGACCTTCCTGCATGCTGGAACATTGTGAGAACTCATCAGTGGGATGGTTGGGGAATTGGGAAGAGAAATACGCCATGAAAGGGTAGAACTATCCTCATAATATGAAACACAGAAGGGAAAGTTGGAGAACCATTGCTCTAGGCAGCTCCTGCAAGTATTGTAAAAACTCCAGGTTTGACCAGATATTTGAATACAGGATGCACATGGCTAGTTCTGCTCACCTTTCCCACTTCTCACCCCATGAACTCAACAAGAAAGCAATGCTGCTTAAGGGTTGTAGTAGTAACGTGCAAGCCTCAGAACCTGGAAAGTTTTAGGACCCAGTGGAGAGTCTCAGAAAAGTCACACAATTAAACTTGTATTTAATAAAAAAAAAAAATCACTACAACTACCATGTAACTTGCAAACACTGGTGAGTTTCACTGAAGTCTGGAATGACTAGAAAGCTGAGATCCAGGGTTTTCCAGTGATTTAAATTTATTTTCAATACATAAGTCATTGCAGATGTAGCTGCATTAGGATGGCACTCTGTAATTTTTGTGTGACTTGCCTTGTCGAAAAATGTCGAGTAATGATTATTATTATGTTATCATCATTACAGTAGTAATTTCACTACATTAATTAATACAATATTACCAGTAAATGGGAGGCCTGGCTTAGTGCAAGAAGAAATCTGGGACTGGTACGGAGGCTTGTGGCTAAGCTGCACCTACAGCTATAACTGCCAGGAGCCCCCATGTCTCTCAACTGAGCAGAGTAGGGCTGAGCCAGTATTTAGACTGGGAAGCCCAGCTGTTGAAGGGGACATTAGTGCTGGCATTTCCTAGATAGTGCTTTTCTCTCTGAGAAATGGCGCCTTCAGGATCTGTAAACTGAGGGTCTGACTGCTCACCTGGTCATTGAAGAGCCTGTGACACTATTCATAAGAATGGTCAGTGCCAATTTTACAGATTTTTTTAAAAGGAGTGAGAGAGTTGCCAGCCTGAAATGGAAGGGACCAGTTTCTTCTATCTTCCCCTTGTTCCTCCTGCACCAGAAGGCTCCCACAGCTTAACTGCTTCCCTGCAAGGCTCATGCCCATCCTCCCCCACCTTATGGTTATTTAAAAAAATAAATGTAAGCTTTATTGTGTCTTGCACAACCCCAGCACTTTGACTACCAACAGGTGCCAGAGGCATGGGATGAGCCTATTTACACATTCCTAGTTCTGAGTAGTGGTGTTACAGAAATTATATTTGTCTTATCTAAAAGAAATCCCAGCAGTTTCAATTGTATGAGAGACTCTTTGCTTCTTGTTTTCCAATCTTATACTGTATATTGGTACTGTCAGCTGCAATGTTTCACCTCCGAGGTAGCTGCGTTTCAGTGGTACAGGAAGTAATCCATAATACTTTATTTCTATTGAACCTTCCATCCAAGGATCTCAGTGTACTTTATAAACGTGGATGAACCAATCCTCACACCATCTGTTTTGTAGTTGGTGACTATTAGTGTCTTTATTTTATACATGAGAAAACTGAAGCCAACAGAGATTAAAGATTGGCTCCTGCAATGACTGAGTGCTGTGAACTCACAATGAAGTCAATGCAATGGCAGTTCCTGATCCCACCACCATGCTAGTGGGTGCAAGTTTACAAGGCCCTTAAAGGGTTGCCCACTATCACACAGCAAGTTTACAACAGAATTGGCAACAGAACTCAGAATCCTTGAGTCCCAGTCCTGAGTTTTAACTACAAGGCCATCCTTCATCCCATTCCCATATCTACCAAACCATGGCATGTCCAGGTTTAATTAAATAAGATTTGTGCAGTACTTTGGAAGTCCCAAAATATCATTCATTGGAGTACAATCCCAAAGGCCTATAGTACCAAAACTGGTGTTACTGCTTCCCATGTGTTAAGAACCATTGAGTTGGAGCTGTAGTTCTTAACTTTTGTGCCCTACGATATCTTTCAAAGGCAGCTTGTATTGCTAGAACTCTTGTCCTGCCTCGCTTCACAAACCCCACCCCAAGCTTACTCCACATGCTATTTTATTAATTAAATTTAGACTGTAAACTCTACCGGACAGGGACTATTGCTTTCCTCGTTGAAACACCTATTAAACATTTGGGGCACTAAAAAACCCAAAAACAGTAATAATCAGGACTCACTTTATAAAGCAGAGATGTTTTCTTTTCAAACTCATAATATGTGTTGTAAAGTAAATGTTCCATAATATATAGACATAGTATACTTTCCTTATGAAATGAACTCAGACTTTAAAAGTCCTCTTATCCATTCTAACTACATTTCTATAGAGTCAGCACAAATAGCTCTTTCCAGCTCAAACTCCCTGGTTCACAAAGAGGTCAAACAATTCCCCAATAACTCTTTCTTATTGCTAGCCATTGGAAGGACACAAGAATACTGAAAAAACTAAATAACCGAGCAATAGTTCAGTAAAATAATATATTCAGACTTCTCTGGGAGAACATTATCTCCGTACACCAAAGGCACCATGAGCTGCAAACATATTATTGTTTATTTTGTAGTAATGGACTTTTTGCAACAAAACACACAAATGCAAACACCCTACCTAGAAAAACAGTACTGTACAGATAAAATGTAACAACCTTTCATAAAATAATAATTGAACATTGAGGGAGGAGCAACATCTGTTATAGAGCCATTAGGAAAGCAATATTACGAGCTTGCCTGTTGACCAATCCATAAATTATAATCTATTAATAATAATTAATAATAATAATTAATAATAAATTATAATCTATTTGTAAATCTCAAAATATTGTAAAGTCTATATTAAAGAAAAAAACATCAAAATTAAGGTGGTGACACCATCTGACATTTATTTTGTTGAGCTCAGATAGTGCAGCACAAATGTTACACAAACCATCTTTTAGTGCAATATTCAAATTCAATAGGGTGAGTAAAGAGACTCCTGAAGAGTTTTGTGTGATCCCTTTCTATGTACAAAAAAACTGTCTTTGAGGTTGCAATTGTTCTGAATAGAAATGTGACTCTTTGTAAGGATTTTTTAAAGTTTAAGTTTAGTGTTTTCATTTTGCAATAATGAGCATACACTTCTACTTTCACACCTTTGCAAGGTTTTTGTTGCACAACTGTACATTGTTCACATGTAAAGAATCACCTGTACTATTGAACCTGCTCCTGTTACCATTAGAGTGAATCAGGGCTTTGCCGCAGGTTTCACTGGCAGCAGCAGTAAACTCTCTGCTTGAATGACTAAATTATATGCACTCTGTTATAGGACTAAATACTACCCTCTGTTGTCCTGGAGCCCTATTCTCCCCCCACAAGTGACGGAATGATTTAGTTGGGGATGGGTCCTGCTTTGAGCAGGGGGTTGGACTAGATGACTTCCTGAGGTCCCTTCCAACTCTGAGATTCTATGATTCTGTGATTCTATGACCAGGATCTAGAGGTTAGAACTGGATGCCAGCCCGGTGGTTAAAACTGTTGCCCAGCCTACTGAGCAGAGCCAGAAATAGGAACCAGGAGTCAGTGCCAAGGGTCAGAGCTGGAGCCAGGAGACAAGCCAAGGGTCAGAGCAGGGCTGTAGCAAGCTGGAATGAGACAGAAATAAGGCTGGGGACAAGGCAGACACAAGGGGGATCACAGCTGCAGGAATAAGCATTGAGCAGCCAGAAATACCTTCTTATGCTTTATGATGATGCAGACTCATTTAGACTCATCCTTACAAGATCCCACATTTGAGGAAGAAGACTGTGCTGCTAAAAAACAACCACCTGGTTTAACGGGGAAGTGAAGGCACCTGTCAAAAACAAAATAATAAAAATATGTAACAAATGGAATAAAGGGTAAGTTGATAGTCATGAATATGAAGCAGAAGTTGGGAACTATAGCAAATTGCTAAGAGAAGCCAAGGAACACAAGGAGAACTCTGTGGCCAGCAGAGTTAAGGACAACAAGGAGTTTTTAAAAATTAATGGTAACAAAATGAATCCTGACAATGGTGTTGGTCCATTGCTTGATGGATATGATAGAATGGTCAATAATAATGCAGAAAAGGCAGAGGTGTTCAGACATATTTCTGTTCTGTATTTGAGGGGAAAACAGATGATGCAGTTTCATCATATGATCTCATCTTTCCATTCCACTAGTATCTTTGGAGGATGGTAAACAGAAGGTACTAAAGTGGTCTCTGCCATGTGTTATGCCAGTTCACGGTGACACATCCTGACACTGCACAGATGTCACAACTGTAGATCAAAAAGCCACCTTCCCACTGCTGTCCAGGCGCATCCCTAATTGTTTTATATAAGGAAGGAATTTGGCTTACACTGTCTTTTTGGAAAGGTAAGAGAACAGAAATGGAGGCACAAATAACCTGTAGGATTTTTTTAATACATGCATTTTGGAGAGAAGGAGAGGAGAGAGAAGAAGGGAGGAGATGGGATGGACAGTTGAATTGCTCTGTGGAAAGCAGTATTTTCAAACAACAGAGATACTGTATATAACTTCCTTATATAGCATATCAAATCATAAAGTTGTCATTGTTTTTTAATTCATTCCAAATTTTCAAAATGTCATGCTGATGGATCACTGCTACACTGGTAGCAGACTTGTCATGACATTAAGATCTGACTCAGAGTGACTGTATGCCAGAGAATTCTGACAATTACTAAGTTAAGGCCTGTTTGTCACAGACACTGAGCACTTGCAGATCTCATTGACTTGAGCTGGAGCTTTGAGTATTCAGCGCCTCTAAAAGTTAGGCCCTAAAATCTTACTATACTCCCAGAGTGAAGTAGACATTTCAGAGTCTGATGAGAAACTTGTATTAAAATAACAGTCTCAGAGCAATGTGTGAACTGAAAGGGGGTGGTTTGGGGCATCCCCAATCATATGCCATTGGTTGTGGGATTGGATTTCACTTCTGGGATTCCACTCCACTCCACCTGCACAGAGACTGATTACTCAGGCTTTTTCCATGTAGAATTGATTTTGCTCTGTATGAATAATCTGGAGGAAAACAGAAGAATATGGAACAAATCCTGCTCACTTGAATATTATCCTGAAGAGACTACTCAAATGAATCGGATGAGCAGGATTTGGCCCTGTATTGGCATTTTAAGTTTCATTATGGTCTGAGATTTTAAAATGTATATGATCATTGTGTTTTTATATGGTAAAGCTTTTCAAACTGTAGTTATACCGAAGGGTTGTGTTCAGCACAGTATTAAATATTGATAGTGTAGTGATTGTATGAGAATGGAGAAGCCAGTATTTTATTTGTAGAAATAGCTGACATTGTATTACATTATATTTGTAGAAATAGCTGTTGTGAAGGCTAGGACTATAACAGGGTTTAAAAGAGAACTGGATAAATTCATAGAGGTTAAGTACATTAATGGGTATTAGCCAGGATGGGCAAGGAATGGTGTCCCTAGGCTCAGAGGGTGGAGACGGATGGCAGGAGAGAGATCACTAGATCACTACATGTTAGGTTCACTCCCTGTGGGGCACCTGGCATTGGCCACTGTCAGCAGACAGGATACTGGGCTGGATGGACCTTTGGTCTGACCCAGTATGGCCATTCTTATGTTCTTATGACATACAGACTTCAACATGAGAAACTGATCTATTGAGAGAAGGAAGGAATTAGGACGTGGGGATATTCCCTTTTCTTTCCAAAAGGTGCTATTGGATCTTTAATTTTCACCTGGACTGCCAATAAAAGGGGCCTCACTGTAGGGCCAGATTCTACCACTCTTACTGAAGCTAGTTGTACCTCACTTACTCCTCCCATTATTGTTCCATTGGGATCAGTGAGACTTCTTGTAGAGTACTTGAAGTACTCCATATGACTAGTAGAATTTGGCCTCTTAATGTCTCATCCCATGACAGACCCTACACTTCAAAAGGAAATGTTACAATTTTAAAAATAATAGTCACTTAAACATGCCCTGTGTACATATCATGGACTAGGTCCTTGGTCAGCCAGAACTCTCCCTTTGAGGGGAATACAGTCTTACCTTCTCAAGGATTGCATTATTTATTTCTATAATAAGCCAATGTTGTTATGCAGAGTCCACCAACTCCCATACTCTTCTAGAAGGATTGAAAACTGTGAAAATAAAATGATTTAAAATTTCTTCAAATTAGTATTAAAATTCTGAACTGTTCAAACCAAGAAAATGCAGGCTGAAACTGTACCAATCATCCTGCTGTGATTACCTTGTTACCGGTGAGTTTCCAGATTGCTTATCTCCTACAACATACAGTACATTCTATTTTAGCAAAATAAGTGAACTATGGTCCCAGTTGAGAATGACCTACTGAATCTACTCTTAAATATTAGTTGGTGTATGATTTGTTTACAGTTTCAGCAGCTTTCCATCAGAACCACCGTATGAAGTTTTGCCACGGGGTAATCTTGAAACTTACAGGATACAAATATTGCATGAAATAGTTTGTCAGGATTCCCTAATAAACTGAATTAGGCCTGATCCTGTTCCGACAAGGGGGGATGGCAAAAACTCCATAGGAACTAGATCCAGCCTTTTTATTATTTTTAGGCAATGATGTTCTTATTTGGAAGATATTTATGCAATCCTCTCCCTTTTATTGTGGTATTCTCCATGTCACAATATTTCAACTTCGGACCTATTTACTAATTAGTGTACAGCACAGATTTTCCATTTGTATACCTCCTATTATATCATGTTTTTAAATAGCTGCATGCATCCACTCCCTCTCTCGGCTATGCATGCAAATGTGACGATAATACCTAAGAGGGCGGCTCAAAATGTTTTGTTGGCATCTGACCTATTTCAGATTCGCTTAGTCTCTCTCATGATTATAGAGCTCCTGCTGAAATACACCTCCAGTAGTTGTGATCTGTGTGTAAACTGGAATGCCAAATTGCGGAGTACATAAAGATCAGTAAAATAGGAAGACGTTACAAATATCACTCTGCCAATTATAGGAAGAAGGCAAACAGCCCTGATCACTCCCTGGGAAGCACCGCCAGGTAATACAAAGTTCAAGCACTTTCCATAAGGAGCAGAGCTGGAGCTGGTTAGTACGTGCACAATTGCATACAAAACCTGAGTTATCTGAAACATTGAAAAGGCAGATGTCCAGTTTAACCTCATGGGATTGATTTGTCATTTTGATTTTTGCCCGTCCGAATTAAAAGGGAGTTTGCATGATTACTAATACCTACGAAATCCGACCGAAATTAAATAACTTGTTACCTTTAAAAATATTGTGCCACGTTTTAAGCCCTCTGCAATGCGGGTCAAAGCCTCTGCCCCTTCCCACACCCTCACACGCAGAGGACCGTAAAAACGGGCAGGATAGCCAATGTTTCAAGAATGCTTCGCCGCCCCTCTCAGTCCCTGGTGGTTCACCTGGAGATGGATTCAGGGGGTCTAGTAGCACTGCTTTCTTTTCTCTCCATCCTAATCCTCCCATCACCCATTCTTACCCCCAGCGCCCACGCTTCTGTCAGACAAAGACACCGTCTTCAGCGCAGAAACCCTCCTCGAGGCAGTGTTTGGTGCGTGCAAAACGCTTCGTTGCTCTTTGCTCGCATTCCAGCAGCGATAAACTGCCCGCTAGGAAAGCAGCTCTGACGACTTGGGGATAGTATGGTTCATGGATATGAATTATTCTCCATTACAAACATCGATAAGTCATTGGCTCCTATAGGACGCGTCGATCAGAAATGTGAGGCTACATGAACATTACTGGTGTGGGGGGGAAGTTAAATGAACTGGCTGGGTTTGCTGAGGGGCATCGAGAGTAAACGGCTGGGAGCGAAGGGGCTCGGGGAGGATGCATACGCTGCCTTGTATTTAGGACCGTTTGTCGGGATTAAAGGGATACCGAATGGTCCCAGCATGACTCGACCTCCGGTAGGCTGTGAGCTCAAGTATGCAGGTGTAAGTGATGCGGAGTGACTCCACCGAGCTCAGCGGAGTTACTCCGGACTCAGACAAGATACTGCTGGGCTCTCTGCTGGGTTTGGCTTCTTAAAGCCAGCAAGCCCCCCCCCCCCCCCGGCCACCTTAAGAGGAAATCACTGGGGAGGGGGCCGGGGAAGGCGAGAGCGCGCGGGGGGCTGAAGTTGGCGCGGTGCGTGGCTGGCGCTGGGGAGGCGGCAGCGCTCTGTCCCCACCAGCCTCGCCTCGGGGTCGCCGCCCGCCAGCAGCGTGCAGGGGAGGACCTGGGCCAGGGTCGCTCCAGTCTGCCCGGCGTGCCCAGCCCGCCCCTTCTCCGTGCCCTAGGCAGCCCTGGGGCAGCAGCCTCCCTTCCCCTGGCAGCGCGGGCCACTGGCGCCCCGGAGCAGGCTCCCCCGCAGCGACCGCCCCCTGCTGCCAGGCGCCGGGAGAGACCCTCGCCCTCGCCGCGGGCGCTGCAGGCAGAGGCTCCGGCGGCCGCTCCCCGCGGCAGGTACAGTACGAAGCCCTCGCCCCGCAGCGGCTGAGCGGGTCGCGGTCAGGGAGCCGGCGGAGAAGCCGCCACGCGCGCCGGCTGGGCAGCGGCTGCAGGAGGTGCAGGGTCAGGGCCCCGATCCCCCTGACGGTCCCATTGGGTGCGATGGGAGGCGGATCTGGCCCAGCAGCTGCGCCAGGGAAGTGCCCTGGGGAAGAGGCTGCAGGGGGAGCGCTTGCTTTTTAGCCGCAGGTTGGCGCTAACCAAGCCGGTGTCAGCGCCCTGATGGCTGCTCGGAGCACCTCTGCGAGGCGCGCGTCTGCCGCCGGGCACTGCCCGACCTGGGCTGCTCCAAAGGCAGCCAGGCGGGGCTAGCTCCACGCTGAATGAACCCATGTGCAGTTTAGGAGTCAGGCTGCTAGACGGAAATCTCTGTTCCTTATTTATAATCGCTTTCATGGAATACAGTGTAAATGCTTTTTAGAGCAGAGAGTATCCAATTAAGGACTTCCCCAAAGTGTGGCTAGGTAGTGATTCAATATCCCTTGAAATGGAAGTAAATATTATCAAACACCTCCCACGCTGTTGAATTATACTTAATGCAATGCCCTTGAAACATAAATATTCTGGCATTCATGTTTTACGTTCTGATGAATAGTTTACCTTTGACTTGCTTACAGAATATGAGAAATGCCCACTGGAATGAGCACGTGTTTGCCGTCACTAACTTCTCTGATTCTTTGAAATGAATCCTTTTATTTTTAACCAGTGATACTTTGGCAATGCTCCACTGGTGATCCTTTGGAATCTATGCTTAATACAATTAGGATTTTGTCTAAGTAACTAATAATATACTTCAGTTGATCGCTGGAGGACAAATATAATATATTGTATTAGTTGACATAGTCCAAAATGCCTCCCTCTAGAAAAATAAAGAAAAGCATGTTACATATCTAAAGTTATAAGGTCTCCAGTGTTTGTTTGGTTGTTTATCTAGACGTTTGTTACAGTTACTCTGTGTGCTCAGTAGCATATACTTTAATAATATGTTAGGCTTGCTTTACTGATCAGCGAGGTCATTACGTCACACTCCTTCGAGTTGGGAGGTGTAATCCTATTTTAATGAATTGATGATTTGCCTACTGTGGGAAGCCATATTGTTGTTTTTCCCGGAAGAATTTTGCAATATTTATTTTCTTTTATCAACAATGGCCACTTTAAGAGAGAGAAGTTAACTTTCATCATTACCATACGATGAAGCACTTGTCTGGAGTTTTGAAGTGCTCTTACTCTTTTTTTCAGAGCTCAGAGGTTCTGAAACTGAAGTTTCCTGTTGAATGTGCTCACTATAAAAGAATGGGAAGAGTTGCAATGGTAGCTTTACCTCTTTAATCTGTCTTTTGTCAATGCACAGCCCTAACTCTCCTTTGTTGTATTTAGGCATTATGACACAGTCTGTAATGACATGACATTTTTTATCCAATATAACATATTTCAGTGTTTTCTAGGAGCTTAGATAACCAATGATTAACTAGTTATGGATTATTATAATACCTATATGCAACAGGGCAGCATTAAAGTTAAGTGTTCAACTTTTGCATTTCCTAGCTTCTGGGTGCTTAACTATGCAGGGTTAAAGTTGTGTTTGCAGTGTTGGTCCCAGGATATTAGAGAGACAAGGTGGGTGAGGTAATATCTTTTACTAGACCAATTTCTGTTGATGAAAGAGACAAGCTTGCAAGCTTACACAGAGTTCTTCCATCCTCCAAAAGTAAGATTTCTGGATTTTTTGCTTTTTGCATTTTAAACCAGTCACAGGCCTTAAAGTGGAATAATGAACATAATCCACTTCAGACATGTTAAACTGACATAAGGTTAGATCACCTTATATCTTAAACTGAGCTGAGACTGGACAGTGGTTTAAGCTTCTTGTGCCATTTTAAGGCTTTAGATTAGTTTAAATGATTTTAAAAAACCAACCCTCCACCCCCCATAAAAATCTTCCTAAAAACATAACTGGGGGGAGAAACAATTTGATTAAAGTGCTTATCAAAGGAAGATGAATATAAAGATGGTGACTATAAAGCAAAGATATATCAGATGGACATAGGTGAACATGGTTCAGAAAGATATAATGAAGATCTTCCTTGTTCAGGATGCATTTTCCTACTTTAAAGTACATTTACATGCTGAATGGTGACTATAAAGCAAAGTTGATAGGAAACCAGTGAGACACAAGGAATATGGAACCCCAAGATACTGTCTTTACAGTCACTGTTCAGCTTAGAACCACACTTTAAATATGACGAAGGGAAACATTTTCAAAAGCACATTAGTGACTTAGGAGCCTAAGTCCCATTTTAAAAGGTGACTGGCACTCACGAACCTAAGTCTTACTGAAAGTCTCACACTGGATGTCATTGACAAGAATAGGACCAGAGAGGGTAAACAAATCCTAGTAGTAGAAGTTGCTGCTAATACCAAGCAGCAAGAGAGACGCCTCAGTAAGTGCAAAAGTCCAAATAATATCAGTGGCATGTTATTGTGTTATTGTGGGCTGAAAACCAGTAGTATGGTGGGGAAGCATTTTAGCTTCATACAGCTAATAGCACTCAAGCTGAAGACACACTATGCAAGTGTTGTGAGTCCGGGTAGAAACCCACAGAAACTGGAAACTGCCTTTTTACTGAATCATGTCTGTAACAACCCTCCAGCCCCCCGCATTTCTTGCATGACCAGCATGCCCCAGTGCAACAAAACAAACAGCTTCTGCAGCCCAAGCTTAGTAAAATACCCACCAGTTCCAGTATATGTACTGAATCACCATCTCTGGGAGAGGCAAGCAGCACTGGTGCATTCAAGTTGACTCTGGCTAAATATTCACTACAAGCGCTACAGTGTCAAAGCTGAAGCATAGAAACTTACTACAGTGGCAGAAGAGTTTTTCTGTTCCTGTCATAAAACCACCCCCTCAACAGGTGATAGGTGGATGGAAGAATTCTTCTGTTGACCTAGCTGCAAGTACAGTGGCGGTTAGGCTGACCTAACTACATCACACAGGTTGTGAAATTTTTCACAGCCCTGAGTGATATAGCTAGGTTGATCTAATTTTAAGGTATAGATTAGCTCTAATGTCTCCCTCTTTCTGTTATTCTACTCTCCCACAGCTGGTAGTGATACTTCTCTGTCTTCATCCTTAAGTAGGAGTACCACTGTGATGGGCTGCCCCCTTTAAGGTGCCACCTGATGTACTGGGATAACACTGAGCCCACCTGTTCTGCCATCCTGGGCCCCCTTTACCCTGTCTTGCTGAGCCAGGCTCTTAAACCTCCTCTAGCACACACACAGGCAGGGTCACACCCAGCTGCAGAAAAACACAGACACTGAGATCAGCTTAAGGCAGAGTTTCCCAGACTTTAATAGCCCGCGAACCCCTTTCACTAAATTGTGAAATCTCGTGAACCCCCTCCTAAAAATGAATATTTCAAGGGATTTAAGTTTAAATTTCCTCTGCACTCCGCACTCGCACTCTGCACTCCGTGGGGCTCCTGCTGCTGGACCCCGTTGACCACCCCAGTCTACTGAGCTCCACTGAGCTCGAGCTGCAGGTCCCACTGACCGCCGGGGCTCAGGCTACCAACCCCAACTGCCCGACCCCACCCTCCCTGGGGCTTGGGCTGCCAGTCCCACGCGGCGCGCTGGGGTTCGGGCTGCCGGCTCCCCCACTCACAGAGGCAGGGTTTGGGCTGCCAGCCCCAACTGCCCTGCCCCGCTCTTCCTGGCTCTGGCTGTCTGCCCTGCAACCGGGTCCCACCAGCTGCCTCCAATGCCCGTGGTCCTCTGGGCCACCATTAATGAAATTTTTCTGGCGATCCCCCTGTAACGTTCTGCAAACCTCAGGGATTCGTGAACCCCAGTTTGGGAACCACTGGCTTAAGGGACTTGCCCCAGCATTCAGGTGTCCACCTCCCTTGGAGTGCAGAGTCCAAAGGCATATTGTCTTGCACTGTATAGAAAAGTCTACACAGCTCAAGCTCATAAAAATTTGCTCTCTCCGTCAATGTGAAGAGAGATATGCACAGTTGTTTGCCCCCCACCCCAGATATGAATTGCACAAACTGGGTTATGTTA